ATGTGTAAGAGACCAATTTTTGCCCTTGAGTCTGTGTTTCACCGCTTGGATACAAGGCCAGGCCTTCTAGTGTTGAACGCTCAATCCTAGGGGTGGGCACGGTCCGGTCCGGTCCAATATTTGGCCGAACCCGTACCCGTACCGTTACTATTGAAACGGTTCGGTACGGTTCAGTCTTAGACCCAAACCCGTTCGGTACGGTCCATTTTCAAACGGGACGGTACCATGCCATACCAATACCAAACAATTCCACTTTTTCCAGGTGTTTAAGAAAAAATTAAAGTTTAGCCATCCTCCAAAAATCCACACAATTTATCAATTTTCATATATCATACTACCTTCGTTCCAAATTGATTTGCAAAGCCAATCTTTTTTTGGTCAAACAATTTCTTTTTATTCACTTAATTAGAATTTCACTTTTTAATTATATTCTAATTTGGCCTTTCAAAAAAACTACTTCGTACTTCGTATATTTTAATTTGGATTTTGCAACTTTAGAGAGATTTTAATGTGGTTTCTAAATATGTAAATTTTAATTATTAAAAATTGTATTAATTTTCAAGAACTTAACATTAACTTTGACAAAAAAAAATGTTGGCTTTGCAAATCAATTTGGGATGGATGAGGTAATTAATGTATTTTAGATAAACTATAGTAGTGCAAATTTAATAAACCATACTTCGGTCCGGTTCGGTCCGGTACCGGTTCTCATTTTATGAGAACTGGTCATGGCATTGTTTGGAACCGGTTCAGTCCGGTTCGGGACAAAAAATTTTGAGATCCGTTTCAAACCCCGTTTATCGGTCCGGTACCATACCGGTCCGGTTCGGTATCATGCCGGTTCGATATTTTTGCCCACCCCTACTCAATCCGGTTATCCCTTCATATATGTCCCTGTTATCAACTTCAATGACAATGTTAGTTATATGTGGGATAATCAAAAGTGTATCAACAATTGCATTATATGATGCCATAATAAAATCATTACTGGGCAATGTAAAAATCATATGGCCCTTATAGTTGCCAGAATCATCACGAATAAGAGCAGATGTTCTGGTAAGGCTAGGAGTAAGAGCACGGGTTGCTATGTTGATTTTATGGTAGGAGGATGGAGGTTTTTTCCCAGACTTAAGGGCTGCACTAGGGATGGTTTTTTTTTTTTTTGCCTATGAGTATAGAGAAGAAAAGGGGTTTGAGGGTGAGGAGATGTAAGAGGAGGAGATGTAAGAGGGTGGGTGAGCACAACTAATGGCGAAAATTTCAGTTTTAATAGTATGCAAAGCCTCAGGGAATAAGGTCATTTTTCATCATAGATCAGCCTATTTATAATCTTCCACAAATTCCAAATCACAGTATTAGGCAAAATGTAGTTGATATCCGAGAGACTACTCTTATAATCATTATACCACTCAGCAATGTAAATATTAAGAAAGGTGATATTTTTTGGTTGAAAGTTGAAAAGAGTTTCAAAATGCCTCCAAACCATTTTGCTAAGGGTATAAGCTATAAAGAAATGATCAATAGAATCCTCACCTAGGGACATTGTTTGGACTGAGATCTAGTCCTCATGTTGTGGCGCCTTGTGTTCTTTGGGATTTTTTGTGAATTTTGAGTTGATTGTTCAAATTGTCTATTGGGAGCACGTACTCATGAGTGTTAAATGACCAAAGTTACTACTTCGTATTAGTTTAGTGTACACTATACTTTTAAAATTACACATGTGACATGATATACTATGTATATAGACACAAAATAAATCATTGATATTTGTGTCTCTTAGTTTCCAACGTTTTATATAATTTTGATAATAACCTCCCAAAACTTGACATTTCGCACTTTGGAGTTTGAAAATTTATCTTAGTTCGACTTTGGAGTATAAAGATACTCTTGGGAGCATGTGAAAAGCCGTACGTGGCGAGCAACGAACGATGACTCGTGTACTACACTTGTTACCTCCACAGCAAGACACGCCTGCACAGTCTAATGACAGCTGTCGTGCGCCGGCCTCTCCTTCTTCTCCCACCAAAACCTTAAAGCCCCTTAGCTTATCCCCCCACTCGCCGCCACTATTCACATGCATTCAAACTATTAATGAATCAAAACTAAATAATCCATCCGCAGGTCGATTGCTTACGTTCGTATACCTAGTACTAGTACCTACCTTGCTTGCTCGACCGAGAATGGTGACCAGAAAGCACAAGGCGGAAATCAACAAGCAGCTGGCGGCGCAACAAGATGATCATAAGTCCCACCACAAATCTTCGCCCCCCAAAAAGCCAAAGACTAATAAGGACGGCGCCGATGATCACGGGGAAGGCCGCAAGGATGACGAGGAACCGGGCGTTGATTCCGAGTTTGAGGAGTTCTGCAATGCGACGAGAGAGCATCTCTCCGTCCAACAAATGCGGGACGTCCTCGAAGCCAACGGCCAGGACTCTTCCGGCTCAGACGCTACTGTTGTCTCCAGATGGTCAGTACTTAGTTCATCTTTCTGGTTGATGTGTTGGGAGTTTGGGTTTGAAATGTTTGATCGAAAGTTCAATAGGTAGAATGTTTAAGTCTCATTATGATTTGGTGCCTTATGTTAGGCTGGAGAGACCAAGCCTCAATGCCCCAAAAAATTGAAAAAATTAGGGACCCATAATTTTTAAACATTACTATTATTATATTTATTATGTATTTTTCAAGGCCGTCGCCATTTGGGGCGGTTCATTGTGAAATTTTTTGATGAACTTTTTGAGCATCATTAAATTTAATTTATCCACAGAGCCCTCTCCAAGAGTTTTGATGCCCCAGACAAAAAAATGACTAGTAGTATTTAAAATTAATAACCTAATTAAATATGAATTGATTAGAAAATTATAACACCATTTTTAACGAAAATATGAAGTGAAACAATTTTTCTCATTAAAGCTCTTGACTCTTGTTTCCGTTTTCCCGCCATAGTAGATACTATAAAATCATAATTTAGCACTAAATATTAGGTATATTACAAGTTAGTAAATATCAAATATGGAAACATTGTTTAATAGAAACAATTGCAAGCTAAATTTAATAAATGAATAACTGCAAGAAAAAAAGAAAAAGAATAACACAAAGTTTCAAGTTTAATACAATTAATAAATACTACCTCCGTCCAAAAAAAATTGACATTTTCAAAACTATGACCGGCTATATCTTTTTATTGAAAATGATTTATAATATAAAAATTTTATGAAAATGTTCTTTTTTAAAAGTGCTTTCATAAAAGTATAAAATTTATAACTTATATAATATTATACTATTATAATATTATACTAATCAAAATTAAGGTTCAAATTTTTGGAAATGTCAAAGTTCGGAGGTAGTAATAATTTATAAATTAGATGTAGAACAAGTCATCAATTTAATATCTATGCTGATTTTTTCAAAAAAAAAAAACTATGCTGATAGTGAATTGCGAATGGGAGAAGAATGAAATATTGAATATGAGGAAAATCAGAAATGGGAGCTGGGAGCGACTTTACTGGCTTGGCAGAATGGGTAGCGGACTAGCGTCTTTACAAGTTCTTTCATCTCCGTATTTTAATTTTTTTTAATTAGCTTAAAGTGTTCTAGGCTAACTAGGAGTCTAGGCCCTAAATTCTACTCCGTAATTTTAATTCTAATAATTCTATTGGGCCATCAAGCCAGGCTATCATGTCCTTGTCAAGTGGAGTATCATTTTGTTTGACTTTTAGAGTTTTGACTACTCTGTACTCCGTATTTGTCTATTTCCAATTGTTGTGTAGAAGTATTATATCAATACACTAATATACGTATATATAATAATACTAACCTTTTTATTAAAAATTGATGCCCTCCTTGGGGGTGGTGCCCTAGGCCATTGCCTAGGTGCCTACCCCCATGGCCGGCCCTATTTACCCATACCAAATTTCAGCAAAAAATTCAATCGGGAAGGTAGCCAAATGTATTTTTGAAGATAACTGCACAGTTAAACAGCACAGTATATTTCATAAAATCATTTGACTACCTTATTTGTTGAGTTTTTAGCTGAAATTTATTATGGATAAACTAGATTTAATGAAGAAGATGTTCAAAAAATTTCATCAAAAAATTCCACTGGAAACCACCCCAAATGGTGACGGTCGGACAGAACCTCTTATTTCGAGGGCTGATTTGTGGAGAAAATTAATACGTAGTAGTATATATTGTTGTTGAGGATTCCGCTAAATTATGTATTTAAAACTGTTTGACGGGTTTTACTTAAGTAATTTTTTAATACATTCAATTATTATGGAAGACTTCTATTGAAAGATTGTGTTTTTGTGATCATTCAATTTTAGTAAATCTATATGATAAACAAACACTATATATGGGGGCCCATTTTATGAAACTCAACTCACGATTTATTGGGATTATTACGGTTACATATGTGGCCTAGTTTTGTCAAGTTCGACGAGAAATAATAATAGACATAAAATTGTGTGACTCAAGGTCATGCGGCTAGTTTGACGATAAAAAAAAAGGTCATGCGGCTAGTTGTATACTCCTCTAGTCCTCTTGGACATGTATGGTATTGGACCTATTGGTACGTATATATTCACCCCTGTTTGGGTAACTAAATATTATGATAAATTAGTAATAGTACATCAAATTGACTTTTCTCATTAGTTGTAATGAACTTCATATTGGGTGTGAAATTAGAAAACTAAAAACTTACTTTAAAAGCAAAAATGATAAAGTTTGTAGTACAAATAAAAAAAGAAAAGTTGGTAAAGTCCAGTGCGTCAAGGAAGTACTATATTTGTGTGAAATTTATAATATTTACACCCGAAAGTATTCTTAACAAAGAACTTTTTCATATAATTTTCATATTTTAAACAATTTAGTATTAAAAAATATATAGTTTGTCAAACTTTTTCATATGATGTATGACGTATGGGTTTATCATTTTATTATACTCGTATGATATTAATATTTGAGTATATACAGCCAAGAAATAATGTTCTATGGGCCATTGGGGAAGTGTCCAGTCTGCAGTGGCATGTTGAAGTGCAGCGGCGGAGCATATCACTGCAAAGGAGATTTCTCAGAGTGGTCTTCCTGTGTTTACTCCACCAGAGATCCTCCCAGAAAGGACCAAGAGCCACTAAAAATTCCTGAATCTGTCAGGAAAACGCCAGTCGAAAACGTAATAAACTATTCCGTACTAATTTAAGCATGGATGAAGTTTAAGTGTGATGCTATTTGTTTTTTTTTTTTTTTTTTTTTTTACTCCACGGGATCTGGGGGAGGGGGGCTGGGGGAGCCTGGAGTAATCAGGGCTGAAACCCACTCCATTGAGTTTCATACCCTTGTGTGCCTAGCGGGATGCTATTTGTTTTTAAATGCATTGTATATTTGGGTTCACTAGTTGATCAAGAAACATCAAGATCCCAAAACCCGGCCAAAGAAAGAACAACTCACAGCAGTAAAACCTCTTAGCGGTATGATGATTTCGCTCTCGGGCCGTCTTACCAAAACCCATGTATGTATTTTTTTCAATTCTGCAATTCTTTATGTAGTCGTAAACAGCTGAGAATATGTTTTTGCACATTTAGTTAGTGACAACAATAAGTTTATCTGTGCAGCAATACTGGAAATCTCAAATTGAGAAGAATGGAGGGAATGTGGCAAATTCTGTCATTGGTAATATGTTCATATTAGTGATGGGTTTGGTATATAGTATGTTACACATTAGTTGTGACATAAATCACATGATAGTGTTTGCTAATGCAGGGGTGACTTGTTTAGTTGTGTCTCCAGCTGAGCGTGATCGTGGTGGCTCATCTAAAGTAGCTGAAGCTGTGTAAGTCTTAAATTATTTAGTGGCATACTTGTACATATTACGTAGTATTGAACAGACTACCTTAAATTATGAGTGCAATAAATAATTGGGTTTGATATTTAGTTCCGATACCATATTAGCTCCACTTTAAAAGAATTGAAATATTTAAAAGAATGTTTATGATGGAACATACTATATTCCACAATTTCCACCCAACCCCCAAAGGGTAGCTGTGTATCAATATTTTGTACTACTCAAATCAGACATACTATGCAATACTTTTTAACTAATTTTATCATTGCACATTTACTTTGTCACTGTCTTTTGTATATTTCTTGGAAGTTGTTCAAAAAGTGGAAAAAACATAAAAAACAAAAATAAAAATTATTATGAAACCAACACCATAGCTTTTAGGAGAACATGGCCTCATTCTTTCCATTGATTCGAGTGTTATTAGGGAAAGGGGAATACCTGTGGTAAGGGAAGCATGGTTGCAAGACAGCATAGAGAAAAGGGAAGCGCAGCCACTAGATGCTTATGATGTTATGAGTGACATTGCCATAGATGGTAGAGGCATTCCCTTAGACAAGCAGGACGAGAGTGCTGAGGCACTAGAAACCATTGCGGCAGAGGTAACTAATTTTTTGTTGTCTATAAAAACCATCACCTTTTTCAAGATGCTGTATTTCCTTTTTTATTCATGATAGTTGATTTACTACAATGGGTAATCACAGCTGAAGGTGTACGGGAAGAGAGGTGTGCACAAGGATAGCAAGTTGCAGGATGAAGGTGGAAAGATACTTGAAAAGGATGGACTGTTGTACAATTGTGCCCTTGCCCTTTGTGATCAAGGAAGAGGAGTCAACGAGTAATATATAAAACCTATAAGCCATTGTTTTCTTATTTCCCTTTCTTAAGGATCTATTTGGTACTCAGAAATTTCCAAAAGGCCAGAAAATTTTAAGGATGAAAATATAGGGAATATTTCGAAGGAACATAAAACATTAGCTCAACCTCAATATACTCTTTTTTTCTTTTATGTAAATACGATTAGAAGAATAATCCAATTTCATTTTCATGTGTTTTATGATATGTCAACATACCCGAAGTACTAAAAATGAATGATGACGCTTTTGGTTTGTTCAGGTTTTGCATTATGCAGCTCATTGCAGGGCCTGAGAAGCGTTTGCACATGTACTATAGAAGGGGCAGAGTTGGTGATGTTGCCCGGATAGATGCCAAGCTTGAGGAGAGGGAAAATGAGGATGACACAATCAAAGAGTTTGCTAAGATCTTCAAAGAGCTGACTGGAAATGAGTTTGAGTCATGGGAGAGGGGAAAGAAAATCCAGAAGAAACCGCACAAGTTTTTTCCTCTTGATCTGGTACTTTCATCATTTAAAGGATTGCAGAACTAATGCACAAGGAAGCAAGGAGAGGCCATATCATAATTATAAAAACTAGCCCTTGTAATTGGAACTATGCATAATTTTAATCTAGATGTGACAAATATTACCATATGAAGTAAAATACAAGAATGCACTTTAAAATATTAAAAATACTAAAGTAGACTTCAGAATTTTGTGCATACACACATAAATATATACACATATACAGACTGTTTTCAAATTTTAAGACATTTTTAAATCATGAAGCTCAGTGTTGTAGCGCCCCTCCCGCTTGCACAAAATTATTAGACACATCCAAGCTGTTTTATGCTCAGGGTGTTGTTTATTTTGCTCTCCAGGCTGATGGAATAGAAGTTAGACATGGAGGGCTTGCCCTTAGGCAACTTGGAGTTGCAGCCGTACACAGCAAGCTTGATCCTATGGTAGCAAATCTTATGAAAGTTCTTTGCAGCCAAGAAATCTATAGGTATAGATATATATCTTCAAATACAAATATGAAGTCCATAATTTTCTAATCTGGCTGATAAATAGAGATAAATTTGGTAAAACAAAAATCTATACTCCCTACCTAATCTCACAACCGAACAAGCCCTTAGTGATGCTGCTCACAGTAAATTATTCATTGCGTGAAGGTATGCATTAATGGAGATTGGGCATGACTACCCAGAGGTTCCAATAGGGATGCTTTCAGACATGCATCTGAAAACATGTATAGACTTTTTTTCATGTATCATTGATCCAAACTGATCCTATGAAAGCATAGTAAGATGCTAATTATGTTTGTGATCTCCGTGAACTTGGTAGGTGAGGACGCTCTACTGCACTACGCGGAAAGGTTAAACACAATGAAGGAAACAGGACAGGAAGCAGAAGCAGTGTGGGCAGAGTTCAGCAACAAGTGGTTCACTCTTATGCCATCCACAAGGCCATTCCGTCTAAGGGATATTGACGACATCGCGGATCATGTTAGTCAGTGGAATACTTATAGTCTCTAATATGTAGATGTTCTTTGTTTCCTAAATGTTCATTAATGAATTATAGGTTGCTTCTACATTCGAGACTATAAGAGATATCAATGTCGCATCACGCCTTATAGAGGATATGTCTGGTTCAACAATAGACGACCCTCTGTCTGATCGATACATGAAGTTGGGGTGCTCCATTTCTCCTTTGGAGAAAAATTCAGAAGACTACAAAATGATAGTTAAATACTTGGAGAAAACTTACGATCCAGTCGGTGTTGGAGATATAGTAAGTCTATCGTCTTTATATCTTTGCTGATCATAAAATAATAACTTGAGGTTCTAACATATGTTAATTCTTACATTGCTGTTTTGGTAGAGTTACGGAGTGACAGTGGAGAACATATTTGTTCTTGAACCAAAAGCTTGCCCCTCACTCAATGACATCAAGAAATTACCCAACAAACTCTTGCTCTGGTGTGGTAAGACCGTAAGATAGGGATTAATGGAGAGTTAGACACCAGAAAGGGGGATTTTTGTACAATAATTTCTTGATCAGAGATGAGGTATTCAAAGCTCAACAGTTCAACACTTCCTCTCTTTTTTCAGGAACTAGAAGCTCAAATCTTTTGAGGCATTTGCAGAAAGGGTTTATGCCATCTGTTTGTTCACTTCCTGTTCCAGGCTACATGGTAGTAACTACTTATTGAGTATTATATATTAACATGCATTGTGATATAATATAAAGAAGTAATTCTAAACAAGAGCAACATCCATAAATAGGAGTGTACATCTTAAGTTGAAAATATAACTCATTTAGAGAAGTAGTCAGAAGATTCTTTTTTCAAGTGTGGAAATTGTCCTTCACTTAATCACATATAATGCAGATTGTAGTTTTTACAGTTTCAATTATCTTAACAGTTCGGAAAAGCAATTGTGTGCTCAGATGCAGCAGCAGAAGCTGCGAAGTATGGTTTCACTGCGGTTGACAGGCCAGAAGGATTCTTGGTATTAGCTGTGGCTTCTGTGGGTGAAGAAATCCAGGAGTTCTGCAGTCCACCAAAGGTAGTAACATGTTTATGGAAACTAAACTATACTTGAGGTATTCAAATTTCAAACAATCTTCGTATTGCGCATTGAACATTGCAGGATACTAAATCCTTGGTGGAAAAGAAACTTGGGGTAAAATGCCACGGGAGGATGAAGACTGATGAGTCCGAGCATTTTGTTTGGAAGGATGATATCAAAGTGCCTTGTGGGCGGCTGATTGAATCAGATGAGCACAAGGATAGTCCACTGACCTTTAACGAGTATGCTGTCTTTGATCCACAGCAGGTATGAAAAATCTGAGTGGTTAGATCAATCTAAACCTTCAGGGTGTGTTTGGTCCGGGAAATTGCATAAAAGAATGATAGCACTACTGTTATTTAGAGAAAAAACAGATACATGTCCATTTCTTTTTTCCAAGTTCTTTCCATCCCACGTTGATTCATGTTAGTCCCTTACTCTCTTGAAAATAAGGCTCGAATGTTGTTGTTTACTTCCCATTTTCCTCACTGTTTTCTACATTCAACACATATATTGTTTTCAGGTGAGCATTAGGTTCTTGGTGGCTGTCAAGTACGAGGAGCGAGGCGTGGAATATGATGCCGCTGACCCTGAAGTCTAGGCTGCTATAAACTGGCCGAGAAAAAAGGACCAAACAACTTTGAGGGGTGAAAAGGGTGGTTCTACCGTGTATGTATAAATATATTTTGATGCCTAATGTGGGAAGTATATGTTTTGGGTATAATATGGTTTTAGCGGGAAGTATATGTTTTGGGTATGATATGGTTTAGCCTACAAAAGCTCGAATGAGTATTCAAGGATAGAGGATGTGCTTCCTCTTCTTACCAGAGGATTCTATGGTCGCATCTTTATTTTGCAACTTCCTCTTAATAATGAATTATGATCAATAGTGCCAGTAAGCGTACCTTGTTTTACACCTTGCTCTTAATGGTAAACTACAAGCATAAACTGATTACTTTTTCAACTTTTGAAATATATAACATGTCTATTCTACCATATATGGTTCATACTATTTTTACGACACATGGTTATGATTTTTTTAGTTTGTGAACAGTTTTCATAAGTCAAAAAGCAATTAAGGCAAGTAAGTTATGAAGTGCATAACACTCAGAACCAAACTGAGATGACAAAAATTGAAAGAGGTCATTAATTCGAGCGCAAATCATCTTATGTGGCTTAAATCACTTGATTCTTCAGAAAAATAAGAAAAGGTTGAAGACACCAACCTTAAGTGTAAGCTTTAGTTCATAAGATTAAATTTTATTAACGAGTTGATGCAACAGCTACGATGTATGCATTCCATGAATCCTGCTGTTGAAAGCTTGTGACCTCCTCGTATTTTATGTCTTGACCTGCAGAAAATCCATACGTGCTTTTGATCTCTTCACTATTTGGCATCTGTCGCATCCAAAAGTGAATAGCACCAAACCCAGCCTCTTCCAAACAATCTCTTACTTCAGGCAGTGACCATCTACATATTTTGGATAGGGAATCAAAACCATAGTGGTAAAATTCACGTTTGACCCCAAAAATATACACCCCCAACCTTAAAGAAAATCCCACTTCCAAATAGAGATATTTCCCCTTGTCCCAAAGAAAGATCCTATTATGAAAGCTTGTTATTGTTCCAAAACAAGAAAGGCTCCAGAATCAACAAAACAAACAATTTTTCATCAAATCTGATGTGGTAAGCTTTATGAAAGGACTATTACAAACAAACGGAACGAATACAAACGAGTTAAAGAAACAAATTTAGTTAAATCAAAAATGTTTAAACATAACTAAGATTGATGATATCAAAGAGAGTTCTATTTACTTTGCAGAAATTGAAATATTGCGCCTTTATAAAGCAAAACTCTTCTTTGGTTCTGAGGTAGTGCTTTTTTGTGCTAGGAAAGAAACCCATTTGAACAAAAGCAAGTAACTCTCAAATTAATAGATAACGTGAAATTTCCTTAACAGGACTGATGCCATGTGAAATCAAAACTTAAAGTCATTATGGGGCGGGGTGTGATACACCAAAACTTACAGTCTCCAGCTGTAGGAAAAGGCATGACGTAGTTTCCTTTGTGGCTTTTGCAGATTGAAATGAAGGCTGATTCTTGTTTTCCTCTTTATGATGTCAAATTCGGTTTGCTCCCAAACATACTGGGGAAGAAGTGAAAAAGAACCGAAAAAGTGGTAGCAATTAAAGAGTGGGAAAAAATCTACGGAAATGAAAACAACATCCAGCTTAGAATCTTCACAGTTCTAAGATCATTAATGTAATAAGTAATAACTCATTTATGTAACAAAGTGACGACAACTAAATTAACAAAGATTTATATCATCATCCAATATAGCGAGAAATAAACTTAGTGTTGGCTCTTGATATAGTAGGTGTTATTTCTCATATGCTGTAGGATTAAATATTTGGACCCATAGTCAAACAAAAAATATACCGTGAATTGGGGAAATTTCCTCTGCATACGCAGTTCACACTCTGATGATGTTCCTCCATAAAGATCCATCACAAAAATCCCGCCTTTCTTACTCAACACAGTGAGCACGTGCCTGAAATACTTGATCAATTCTTGGCGGGTATGAAGACAGCAACAGCTATAGTTAAATGCACACACTATATCTCTGCCGGGCAATTGAGAATCTGTTAGTTTAAGTTCAAGAAAACCATGTGCTCCATCCTGAGTGCTGGCCATAATCCGTTTGGCATCAAGGGGTCTCAAGACATTGCCGTGATAAAGAAATGATCTGGATGAGACATCAGTTCCAGTTTTGTTTAAGTTGTTTTCTATACACCAATCAAGTGCCTCTATGTCCATATCTAATCCAACGGCTGTTCTTCTTGCATCGCTGCATAGCCACTCCGCACTGAAAAATGTCATCCACCAGAAACCAATCACTAAAGCAAGTTTTTCATAACTAGATCTAAGTCTGTCATAGTTAATGAAGGTTCACAATGACAACCCAACAAATACTTGCATATATAGTCACCTTGATGGATATGAATAGCGCTCATTTGGTTACACGCCAAGATTTTAATGTTGCCAACATGTAGAATTGTTTGAATAAACATAACAGTATTATCAGCGTATACGGAGTTCTTCAATAAGAACCTGCTCGACAAGTACCAGTGTACCTGAAGCCTGCTTGGTTGGAGGGTTATAGAGGGAAGGGTGAGAAAGTAGATGAGCTATCCTCCAAACTCCTCATATCTCACTCTCCCAATATGAGGTACTTCAGAGGTCCATATTTTTCAAGATTTCTTACCTTTTATTTAATCTAAATATTATTGTTATACATAAAGGTACGGTTAATTGCTGCAAAAAGTTATACCAAATATAATGTTTGTAATAGTAGTATTCTCCTAGTAAAATCATTGATCTCATCTTCTCGGTTGAACCGAAGTAAACTTCTTTTTTAACTCTTTGATTTCCGCTCCTGCCTAACTGCCTTCTCCCCATTTCTCTTGCCCCCTTTGAACCAAATAAAAGCCAAGGGGACAAAGAATATATAATTATCCACATGTGTGATAGAAGTTTTGTGTTCATTATGTTACACACCAGAACTTTATATATCAGCATTTGGTAAGTTGGAATAAATATTAGAGTATCTCTAGTGAACATGGACTTCATTCAAGAATAGCATGTCATATATTGTACAGGTTGTTAAATGTATACCTCAAAAGAGCAGTACCGCAGAAATCTTCCTGTAGATGGAGAGGGACCCTTCCTCCTACGTACATTAAAAAGAATTTCTGCAGATAGCTTATGTCCCCTTTAGGAGACTGTACAGTATTTTAGCATATCTATCTAAGAGGATGGTATATATGCAGGTAATTACAGGGTTCCCTTACCTGAACAGATTGCTGATAAAGCATGAATTTTGAAGGTATATCGTTGGTTGATGCTGATGAATCGCCATCAATCTCATTGTCGTCGTCGTCTTCTTCTTCTTGGAGCTCGCGGCGTTCTTGAGCGGGTGGGTATTGCTCACCTGCTTCTCCGTCTTCACCGAGATAAGGAGTGTTCCTTGCTCCTCTGCGATGGTTGTTTTGCTTCTTCCCGTGCTTACCCATTGAAACTCGCAGACTTCGCGCGCTGCAGGTGTGCTAAGACAGGGTTTAAGCTTGAGGATTGTGATGACACTGGACCAGGGTTTATGTGATGAAGAGGTGAAATATACTCCCTCTCTATGATATACTATCCTCCGTCTCTTTTTAATCGCAACATGTTGAATTTTACACTATTCACATGTTCTACTTTGACTACATTTTATATTATTATTTTATGAAAATTATTTTTTTTTAAAAATATTGTTCAAATCATCTCATTACAAAATTTCAAAATCTAATTTTTAAATATTTTTTACTAATAGAGATTAAGATATAATTACGGTCAAAGACGTGCATTGGCAAGTGTGAAATGTTGACCGTTGCAACTAAAAAAGAACGGAGGAAGTACTTTCTAGATTCCAATGTGTTTTGGTAAACATTTTTCGGTCAACCAATAATAAAAGTCAACCCTCTCTATGGATACTTAATTCAATTTTTAATAATTAAAATTTACACATTCAAAAACTACATTAAAATGTCTTCAAAGTTGTAAACTCCAAATTAGAATATAATAAAAAATTGACATCCTAATTAAGTGAACAAAACGAGACTGTTTGACTAAGAAAAGTCAAATTTACAACTCTTTTTGGGACGGAGTTAGTACTCCGTAGGAAGTATTAATATGGAGTACTTTTTAGTTCTTTTTAAAATGAGAAAAGTGTACATCATCATGCAATGAATACAACAACATACCTAAACTTGATTTTTCTATGTTAATTGAGTACACATTTAACTCTTCCGTTAAAAAGGTGAAATGGCAAAGAACCATTTATTGAGTACACATACAACAACCATTTATTTTTTACCTTTATTTTCCCAGTCCGCATCTATTCACTTCTATTAACCCTAATTACCTTAGGACTTCACTGCATCTCCTCTTCTTTCTTCCGTTAGCCTTTTCTCTTCTCCTACTTTGCTTTCTTTTTCTCTTCTATCTTATTCTTCTTTTTATCTTTTTCTTATTCTTGCTACATAATTCCTTGAAATTTGAAGGGATTTCCGTAAATCCAAAGTTGCGATGAGTATAATCGACGCAGGGTTGTTTGTGGGGTTGCTGAATAACAAAGAGCGGGAAGCCTAACAATCAACGACGGTGAAAAACTAAGTAAGGGAAACAACGTTCGGTGGAAGAGGACACACTTGAGATGGCCGGAAGAGATAAAGTCAAAGGGCCTTAACGGCCATAACTTATCTGTTTGCCTTTGTTATCATTTTTAGCGGCGTTATAACAGACGTACTAAATTGACGTACTTTGAGGTATCTCACACAAAATTATGTACCCTTTATGCTATGGGTTACAAGTTAAGGTACCATATTGACACTTTTCTCTTTTATAAATGCAACATTGGACTATTTTCACTATTCACATGTTCTACTTTGATTCTATTTAATTTATTAATGTATCATATATTAAATTTTAAAAATATTGTTAAATTCCTCTTATTTTAGAGTTTCAAAATCTATTTTTTTTAATTTTTTTTACTAATAAAATATGAAATATATTAATGGTCAAACTTGTGCGTTAGCAAACGTGAAAAGTGGACCGTTGCATTTAAAAAAGAATGGATGAAGTATATAAAATCTGTAATAAATTGGCATTTGAGTAACACCTATTACATGAGCGGAGCTAGGAGTGGGCCATCCTAGGCCATGGCCTACCCCAAATTTTAAAAATAGCTTAATTTTTAAGGTAAAAAATTTCGTGTAAAATTTTTTCTAAAAATATTCTTTGTACCGGCCCAGTGCCCTGGCTCCGCACCTGACATATTAAATGGAGCACATTAAATAACTTTTTTGTAATAAAATTGTTGAGGTTTATTCCTTCAACCCTCGGGTCCAACACGTAAGCCCAAGAGTTTCGAGTGGATGGATATATGAATGTAAACAAACTAGCCCAACTAACAAACGTGATGGATCAAGGGAAACAACAAGTAGCAAGTAAACGATTAGGTATTATTATCTCTTAATAACTCCCTAATACAATACTTCTCGCTAAGGCTCGTCGGCCGTTCGTCTTACCAGGCAGTAAGAGTGCTGCGAGTAAGAATGCTATAGCTCAAAATGCTAAGAATAGAAAGTTGCTAACCCCTTACAATGAAATAAATGCTTCTATTTATACCCATCAATGGGCAGTTGGCTACACTGACGTGGAAGCCTGTGGATCGCTGGTGTCTCAACCACCAAATCTTCAGCATTAAATGCACTTCCCGCCAGAATCTAGGTTTCCCGCCTAGTTAGTGGGGACGTTCGTCCAGTTGAGGAGGCAGGTGGCTCCTGCGTGATCCTGCAAGGGGATTGGGCCGTTCGTCCCTTGGCCCTTGGTGATTCTTGCCATGTAAGCTGGACTGCTTCCAACGGTTATAGCATGCCATGACGACGTTCCTCGTTATTCCGATGGCTTGTGGTCCTGCTCCCTGTCGATATCATAGACGTTCGTCGGGTGAGCCGCTGCACCTGAGCCCCTTCTTCAGACGTTCGTCCATACTGAGTAAGTGGGCCTGTCAGGATAGCCTGGTGACCTTTCCGGACATTCGTCCGGATGAAGGGTAAATGGGCCGAACCCCGATTTGGGTCATTAACCCAACACAAGTCCCCCACTTCTGATGTTCTGAGCATGCACAGGACATAAGGAAGTATGATGTCTCCCCAGGGTAAGACGCTCGTGGCTTGGTACTTGTATTCGTTGTATCTGGCGGAGGCGTACGCTCGTGGTCATGGTGCTTAACAGCTGTCAGCGGTTCAGGAATCGAGGTGACGGTTGTCATAACAACGGTGCAGTTTTCGAGGAAATGTCATCATTACGCTTCCATCCCACGCATAGCGCGTGAGCCGGAATCCTCCCCTTGCTACGTGTCAACCCCTCGTTGGTCCCTCGATCGGTGCTTCTCCTACAAATACCGGGTTTTCCCTTTGAACTAGGGCTCCCGATTTTTGCTCTCTTGCTCTAGAATCTCCGCTGCTCCTCGAGTTTTCTCCCCGCTTCCGAGTCCGGCTAATCTCCTTGTAAGGTAATTTTCCCTCCTCTGGTTCTTCTCTTTGTCTTGAATTCTTGCAACGATGACTTCGATGGAGATTTCGTCGAATTCTAGCTCCGGTTCGTCGGGTTCTTCCTCGGGCTCCTCCTCCGATTCTGGTTCACGCTCACCCGGAAAGGCTAGTGTCTCCGGGAATTCTGGTTCGGCCTCGATTGTGGGGACTATCCAGGCCGATGGTGCGCCTGATGACGCTTCCCAAGGTAGCGGGAGCAACGCTGGAAACGGAAATGTTGACGGGGCGGTGGACGTTATTGATGCAGTCCCCCTCAATGAGCGCCCTGCTGATTATGATTCTGGGGACGAGGCCGAGTCCGGCTCTGATATGGAGGTGCATGAGCTGGGCATTCCTATGGATATGGAGCGCCACATTTGTCCGATCAGGAGCGCCCTCGATCACGATCAAGTCCTCTCCCGCGTTGCTTTGAACAAAATCCGGACCTTCTTTCCCACGCCGTTCGTCTTTAGCGTGAGAGGCGCTGAACATGTGATGAGAAGACGGCCGGGGATGGTCATGCTCCACTTGGACTCCGTTGAAGCCGGGCTGCGGTTTCCACTTCATCCATTCTATGTGGAGTTCTTCCACTGCTTCCAGGTGGCCCCGGCGCAGTTCATGCCCAACTCCTATAGGTTCATATCGGCCTTCCTAGTGCGCTGCAAACTTGCAGGAGCCACTGCCACTTTGGATCTGTTCCACTACTTCTACCGGATCACTCCTCAGAACTCCGATGGTTATCTGAGTGTGGCCGCACGTCCGGACAGGAGGTTGTTCAAGAGTTATCCCTCCTCCATCCATGACTGGAAAGATCGGTTCTTCTTCCTCTAATATGACGGCCCTCCTCTCCCAGTTCGCTGGAACGGCTATCCCCCGGGTCCGGGGCCCCAGTCGCCGAAGCTGCTCTTCCGCCGCCGGTCGTCCCCCCGAAGGCGGTTTCTCAAAAAGGGGTGGAAAAGGCCCCCGAGAAGAAATAGAAGAGGGGCCGCGAGGCTGCCTCCACCGGCCCCTGGTTGAAGAGGCCGACTTTCTGCCTTTGAGCCGCCCGGCGGAAGAACTTTGGAGGGAGCTGGCCCTCAAGGCTGGCCTCGAACTGCCCCCCGTTCGTCTTCTGAGGCGACCAGTAATGCTCTGGCAGCTGCTCTTCAGGTATTTCCTCAATACTAGACCTGGGTATATCTCCTTTTCCGATGTTCTTCTTGTGATTATACAATTTGATCTGTCCTTCCTTTGTCCAGTCTGGACTTCTGGTTCTACAGGCTGAAGCTGCCAGGGAGGCCGACCTGAGAGAGGTCAAGGCAAAGGCCGATGCCGCCGTCGCCACAGCCTGGGAGGCCGCCCGTCGAGCCGAGGCGGTGACTGCGGCCAAGGAGAGGGAGATCGCCGTTCTGCGGGCTGAATCCCGCAACCAGCTGGTCAGCCTTGAGAAAGCTGGCTTCAAGCTTGTACCGGTGCACCCCGTCGCGAAGGATGCAGACCCGGAGTGGCTGGTTGACACCTCCGGCTATAGGAACACCGGGGAGTTCATGGACTCTGCTGAGGATTACTGCGCCGGGGCCTTCGGTCATGTGTTCTCTACAGCACTGACGAAGGTACCGCCTCGGCAGCGTCTGGCGTGCGGCGTCCGGATCCTGGAGAGCTCTCCCCTGTCGCACAAATTCCTCTATGAGGTCGGCGACAGTACCTTCGCCGCGGGGTACAATGAGGGGGTCAAGGCCACTCTCCCCATATTCGCCAAGCTGCAGGGGGCTGATTTCGATTTGGCTGCAAATCCTGCAAATACAGACGATGATCTGCTGATCCAAGCTTTGGGGAAGCTAGGGAGGGATCAGTGTCGGGAAGAGGCCAGGGCCAGAGGGGAGATTCCAGAACCTCCGACCCCCGAGCCCGAAGCTAAAGAGGAGGAGCAGAATTCGGGCGGCAGCCGGCCCGAGTCCCCCTTTCTTGTGTAATGTAGTTGTACTTCTCTTCCGTTTTGAACTTGTAATGCCCAGCCGTTAGAGCTGAAGAATATACACAACC